TATTCTTGACCATTCTCTTTATTTGGTGAAAAAGTTTGCATATACATGGGTTGTGTCCCCTCCCCATTTTCATGTTTTGTAAATTTGTCAATTTTTTGGGAAATAATTCTCAAATTTCACAGTAATTATTGTCCACCAAATTCTTCAAACAATGACCTTTCCAAAAAAAGCAGATGAAAAAAATTAACCTTATGAATTAGAAGGTTAAGATGTTAAAATAACTTGTTTTGCTTTGTTTCTTGAAGTTGACAGAGTTTGAAGGTTCTACCAAGGATGTCAACTGTGGAGCACATACAGGATGCAGAGCACAGTGATGAAGTATCACCATGGCAACGCTTACCGCTCAACATCACTTGAATGAGATTGTACCTGACGCCGTTAATTGTAAAGAGCGCCACCTGTTGTTTGGTTATCGATCAACTTTTAATGCAGCAGATAATGCAGCGGTAGGCTATATAGGCCTGTACGTCAGGAAAGTCTGGACTATTTATTTCTCAAAATTCAACTTCTTTTCGGCGTACTGGAAAGATTCCCATATATCTGGACATCAATAATTTTTCCTGCAGTGACCTATATCACCATTAAAAGGGATAATTTATGTGTCCAAAAATGTCAGATTTATAGCAGGGAAAAGTTGCTACCATGGCATGCCTACTGAGAAAATAGCTGGAGTTACCCAGCCCGTAACACCCGATGACTGTTTCATGCACTAATATAAGGTTTACCACTCGCATCACAGCTTTGGTACTGGAACCGCAACCAATAGTGCATGAAACAGTCATCGGGTCATACGCTTCCGCGTGATGTCAGGCGCCAACAGCCAGCGCAGCCGGCAAAACCGAGTAGTTGACAGCGATCGCTCTCTGTGCCTGTTAATCGACCGCCATTCATTGTACACAATTTTTTTTGTGCACAAACCAATTGCGGTCCTGGCCAATCCAGCAAGGTTGTCAAGTTAGCGGTTATTCCTCCTGTTTTCACTGCAATTGTAGGCTGAATCTTCATCGTGGATCGTTTTTTACTTCAAGGACCTGTGTAATGGTTATTCCAGGCAAGTTTGGGGTGAGTTGCAGTTGCAATTAGTGTGTAACGGGGACAAAATTGAACATTTTCCAAAATTTTTTGAATATACTACAAGTTACGAGAAAAATACGCTCCAGCCCTAGATGACAACCCAATGATAAAACTCAGGGCTGGGTAACTCCAGCTAACCCAATGATAAAACTCAGGGCTGGGTAACTCCAGCTACTGAGAAAACATGTCAAAGGACATTTCATAGTCTTTGTTGGTCAGTGGTGTCTGAGGTATGGGAGTCTTTCCAGAGTATATTTGAATGCTTTGCATACATTGTTGGGTAAGACCTCTTTTTATAGCTCCATGATTGTATAGTCATATAGTCAGCAGGGCCAGGGCCTATTGTTTTTAGTTCACCGCACCTACTCCAATTAAGAACCCAGTATCAATGCACACATATAGTGGTGTTCCCTAACGTGGCGCACTGCGACGTTTCTCCTGACTTTCCTCATGCACGGTTGCCAAACTTCTTTGTTGATAAACTTCGAATTCATTCAGTTATTACTGGTACTTTTTCAGTAGTGTTTGCAATTTAACTTCTGTAAACAATTTCACTGTCACACAATTTTGAGCAAAATTTAAAACGGTGGCGTCCGGAAATTGGGCCAAAAATCAGCTTAGTGTTCCCTAACACAGCTCACTTGCGTACATCTTGGAAAATTCCAGGTTAACACTAAAAAAGTTATTTAAAGTTAGCAAATTCTTAATTAATAAGTAAATATATCTCTACTTTACCCAACTAGAAGTATGTCCGAAAATTGTTTTCTTATTTTGGGCTGAGTATATCATTGGTGAGTTGAAGGTAGATTGTTTCTTGATTATAATTTGAGTTAGAAATGTGATTCAGGTTTGTAACTTCAGGGGTTGCCCTTCAGGAAACTCAAGTTTGGATTGATTTGGGGGTCAAAAGGTCAAAGGTCAATGTCATTGGTCAAGGTCTAGGTCATTCTAATTTCTATTGACCAGCAATTATCCTACTACATGTACTTGTAATTTCACACCTTATATCAACAAACTCAGGCCGAGGGGTTTCAACAGCACCGCTATATTTTTTAGGAAAGTTGCAGTAATATGTTTATTGATTCATTTTATTTCATTAACAGCTTTGGAAATGGAGTTGAGGCCAGACAGACAGGGGGCATAGGACTGCATATTTGCTCCGAGGTAATTTTATCTAATGCATTTAATGTTAGACACTATTCGTTTTTGAACTTTTCTCCAAAAACCTGAAAATATTTATTGCGATTACTCACCCTCTAGGCTCTAGTAATATTCAAGACCAAAAGTATTTAGAATTATTCTTTACCATTCTCTTTATTTGGTGAACAATTTTGACCATCGTCTGAGTAGAGGCGTTTGCATGTTGATATTAGTGCTCAGGCATCAAATTACGTCAGGAATCGACCACTAGTCTCGCCCCAACTTGCTCATAGTTGTTTCTGTGGCATGGTTTAGCTGTATTTGTCCTTTTTGGGGAAAAAAAGTAGTGCAGGTGGGAAAATTATCAGAAAAACTAAGATGACATTTTTGTGTGTTTACGTTTCTAGAGTTACTTCAACAACAACGATAGGTTCAACCACAACTATGCGCAGGCCAAAGCCACAGCAGGCAGCTACAAGGAAGCAGAGGAGGTAGGTTGGACTCCCGGACCCAATTTTTTTTGTTGCGCCCTCAATAGTTGGCCAGTCATGGCGCAGTAACTCGTCATGGTGCCTGAACTAGTCATGGTGCCTTTCATTTGCAAACATCAAAAAACCAAAACTACCAAGTTATTATGAAATACCTGACTGTTAGTGAATAAAAGTCTCAAGCATCCTGTGAAATCACGGCACCTGGTGTGCTGTCATTTCTAAGAAAAGTGGAATTTTGTATTGATTTCCACCGATGGTCGGCCCTGTTTGAGAGAGAAGCTCGACTTTCTGTCTGTTCTCATCCATATACTGTTGCCGTATACCTAGATGTAGAACAAAAAGATATTCCAATAGCTTATTTTCCCACGTGCTGCATCTCTTTGGAATTCCTTGCCTGGTGCTTATTTCCCTCCAACCTGTGATCTGTCCTGATTCAAGAGGAGTGTGGAGTGCTGTGGCCTCGTGGTTAAGGGCGTTGGATTCGTGGTCTGCGGGTAAAGCTGCAGGTTGTGGGTTCGAGTCCAGCCTGGGGTCATGGTGCGTGTGCCCTTGGGCAAGGCACTTTGTCACTCATTGCTTCTCCCCACCCAGGAGTAATGGGCTATCAGCTTTGGTCCAAAAAATGGGCCACCGGTACCAGACGATCGAAAAGAGCAATGCTCATAGCGATTTTTTGAAAGGCACATCTAGAGTTGGAGAATGTGTGATAGCTTTGCAGTGTGAGTGGTGGCAGTGTTATCACTTTTGATTTGTGTTTTCAAAATTGCCGTCAATATGCTTGAACCGGATAAATTATATGTGGTAACAGGCATGTTTTGGCTACCATTTAAAAAAAAAGAAAACAAGGGATAGCACCCAAAAAGCTGCCACCGCTGCAATGCTGTCACATATTTTCCGACTAGAGGGGTGCATACCTTGCAAAAAATCACAATGAGCATTATTCCCCTCATTTGATACTGACCAAACCCCCACACTGATGGCTTATAAGTGGGTGCCTATGAGGGCAGAGATTGTGAGGTTGATTTAGCTGCTTTGCTCCGACTTGTAGCCCTGTATATCTGGAGTGGCTTTTAGCCTTGTTCAGGGCAAATAGGCATAAAAAAACAAGTCTAAAACCCGGATGGGGATCTTTCTGTGCCTCCTAGACCACTGTTTTGGTGGGGAACACTTGGTTTTACCATGATTTAATTGGAGAGTGTTTCGTTTCTCTTGTTTCCCAGATTTTTGTGCTCATTCAGAGTGAGAAGATCCAGAATGACTACACGTGTCTCTGGTTGGCAAGATGCTGTGAGTATTACCGTCAATTGTGAATGACGTTTCCTCTTCCAACTTCCAAGTTGCTAATATGGGAATGAATCCACCTGTTAAGCCTCAACTCATAATGTATTGACCACTCACAATTGTGACTGCACAACCAAATGTCCAACTAAAGTCACGACACGTCGCGTGCATGCATTTCATGTACTGCTGGAAAATCCAGAGTGGCATTAGGGAGATGCACATGTTGCCCATGTGTGAGGTAGACTGAAGGGTCTCTAACAATGACATAACCAGCATGCAATCATCGCCCTGATCGTATATTAAGGATGTGACTTTGCGTTTCATTTTGTAAACATTAAGCAAATATTTTAAGAACCGTTTTAAACGTTTAGCCATTGACAGTGGCTTTTGCCTACCCATTATGTCTGATCTGCAGACCGGCGTGATTGACATGATAAATCAACAATGGTTGACATAGTAAATAGCAGGCAGTCGTTGATAAAGTAAAAATGTAACTACGTGTTCCCCAAATGTAATCAAGTACTACGGTGCTTCTAAGGTTTTGTAAATTAAGTAGGTTTGAAAACAACGTTAATTATTTGTGCTATGTGTGGATATCTCCAAGGAAGATCGGGTGAACGGAGGTCCCTTTTCTTAATTCTGGTTTTGTTTACATTATTTGAGAAATTTGTAAACGGATTTAGAAGTTTTTTGTTTAAACGTGTAAACATCACATGTTAATCATATACTTGCCATGTTGGATTTGTTCTATCACATTTTAAGCAGATTGTACGACAGAAATTTGCCACATTGAACATCCCTCTTGGCTCCCAAATATTGTACACAGTTACACTGATGAGCATTGCTGGCCGAAAATTGCTGAAACGAGCATCCACTGAACCGAACCATCTTTTGTGGACCCAATGTGTTTTCTTACAGCAGTATCCTATGTATTTATAACCTTTCTTTGTGTGTTTTCATTGTTCAGACATCGTGAATCGTAAGGCCAGACTAGCCTGGGAGTTGTACCTTAAGATGGAGACGTCTGGCGAATCGTTCAGCCTGCTGTAGCTCATTGCCAACGACGGCTACAAGGTAAAACATCATCCCCTATTTTTGTCCGTTGTGTATTTGGTAAAGATTTAGGCATTCGCCCCAAATTAGTATCCAGTCACTTAATCTAAACCTGCAGCCGATTTCACAAAACACATTTGTCACTTCGTCAAAACCCAAATCGTAGAGGAAATGTCAATCTAAATATAACACACTTGTAAAAAAGAATGCACATATCCAGACGCCACTTCAGCCGTTGTGTACAAAGTCTGTGGCGAGTCAAGAAAACTTTCCAAGTATTTCTGAACAAAATTGGAAATGTTTCTGCAGATTCGTGTTTGTGAAACATTTTTGCAATGACTCATCTTTATTGAGATGATGTGTGAAGACAAAAGTGGCGTCTGATTGCAACATTGTTTTCACGTGTAAAATCAACGAGAATACGAATCCCCATCAAAAAGAAAAAAAAATGATTCATTGCACATTTACGACTTTATGTCATTAGCTTGAATAATGAAGGATGCACTTTTGTGTCACAAACTTTGGTAAGCATGTAGAGGGCATCATAAAATATTAGAATAGCCAAAAATCCCAAACTGCTTAAAAATATTGATTTGGGACAAATTCATCACTTTGTCAACACTGTGGCGATATGATCGAAAAGTTCAGGTTTGTCATTCGGAATTCTGATTTTTTTTGCTCGACTTCAAAATATAATTGTCACGGTCTCTCGATCCTCAAATCTCATCTTTTCTATCGGTAGATGGCCAGTTCTACTATGCGACCAAGGCTTTCGGTGTCCTGGAAAGATTGGACCCCAATCCTGAATACTGGGAAGGCAAGCGAGGGGCGTGCGTGGGCGTATTCCAGCAGATCATAGCTGGCCATGAACCAAGGTGGGTGTCATCTCTGTCAATCAGCAGTGCACACTGACCAATCAGATCTCAACCTTTGGTCAGGTGACCACAGTACATCTATCAAACAGTGCGCACTGACATATCACTCCGGTGCTCTACCAACTGAGCTATCCAGCCCAATGTTGGCGGTTCCCTAATTGTCAATGTCTCTGTCAAAGGGGCGCTAGTCAGAAGCCCTCAACCCGCGTATGCCATGCAGCCAGGGATCACGCCCAAAGTCACGATGCAGACCTGGCAAATATCAAACGGGGATCACTCAGAGAGGATACGGCTTTTTATTACAAATTTTCATGAATACTTTTCACGTTCTTAGCCCTCTAGTTCAAATTCATTGATCTTTATGGATTTTTCCTTTTTCCCCCAATATTCTATAAACAGCTTTCATTTTCACTATTAGGTTTTGCCCTTCACTGACGTATAAACACTGTATACTCAGTGCGTTACCTCCCGAGTTAAAGTTGGAAAAATCACTCTGTTGGGACTCGAACCCATGACCTCCTGCTTGTTAGTGCAGACGTCTTAACCACTGGACCATCAAGCTTACAGAATTGGTTGCCTGGCCAGCCAACCAACCCCGTAAGCTCGATGGTCGAGTCTTGGGTTCGAATCCCACCCAAGTGATTATTTTCCCAACTTTCACTCAGGAGGTAACACACCGAGTATACAGTGTTTATACATCGGTGAAGGGCAAAACCTAACATTGATTTACATCACCCCGACCCAAAGTCCATCTTGTTAATAGCTTTCATCTTCATGTGCACAAAACCCAGTGAAGTTCAAGCCACTAGATTTTTGTCATTTTTTTCCCTCTACAGAGAAACACTGCGAGACATCCTCCAAATCTTGCGCAACACCGGTAACCCACAGGTGGAATACATCAGTGACAATCTCATAACCCGTAAATTTAATTCCCGGTCGCATTAATTCCTTCCTAACGAAACCATTTCCCAATTCCTAAGCAAACAGAAAAACCGATAACGAAACCTACTTCCCCAATTCCTAAGCAAAAAGAAAAACGGATAACGAAACCAATTCCCATTTCCTAAGCAAAAAGAAAAACGGATAACGGACTTCAGATCCAAAATCCCAAATCCTATCGAGAAAGGAATTGGGATTTCTCAATGCATGATGGGAAAATTCGGACATCGAAACTTTTTCGCAACTTCGTCCCAGGGTTAACTTTATTTTGTAACTTTCTTTCCTGTATTTAGTACTTGTCAGTGCGTACAGCTCAACACTACGTAAACGAGATTGTATATGACACCGTTAATTGTGAAGAGCGCCACCTGTTGTTTGGTTATCCCGCGCGATATCAACCAAAGATCTTTGAACGTTACAGACATTGACACTGCAGACATGGCAGATATGAATGGATGTGGCGGTAGGCTAGGCCTGTACATTATCAGGTAAGTCTGGACTAATTACTTTTCAAAATTTCAACTTCCTTTCGGCGTACTGGAAAGATTCCCATATCTAGTCTGGACATTACTCTTAGGAGCTAGTCTGGACATTACTCTTAGGAGTAATTGCAGTACCCCGCCACTCGGAAATACATCCCTATTAAATTCTCTGGCTACGACGAGGTTGGAATCACTGGAATTAGTGGAAAAGAAACAGTTCAAGTACTCTGGCCTGCCAGCTACGCGGATACTGAGTGGGGGTCCATTATTTGAGAACGAAGCAACACAAAAGGAATGGGATAAGTTGCTGAATTTTTTTTAAGTCCAAACCAACTACCCTGTTGCCGGCTACGCGGATACGGATGGGAGTGCAGTGGACCATGACGCATAGTACATGCAAGTAGCGCTGAGGAGGTTTATTGAGGTCAATCAACCGTGACCTCGTAGCCGGCTACGAGGTGGACCGTGGATAGATCGAGTGGCGGGGTATTCTGCAATTGTGCCCTCATTTCTCCCTTCATTTCTCTCAATTCCGGTTTAAAATGTCCAAAAATATTGGATTTAGCAGGGAAATTTAAATTTACCAATGAATTAGTCCGAGTAACTTGGACCAAACTTATCACCTTTTTAACATTCGGACTAGTCCGAGTAACTTGGACCCAACTTAACGCCTTTTTTAACATTTGGACATGGTCTGGCGATAGTAAGGTCCAAGCTTATAGTGCGAGCTGGACAACATCATCCTGTCACTGTCATTATGATTTTCGGTTCGCTCGGAGCGTGCCGCGGGGGGGTACGGTACAAGTGAAATGATAGTTATGTGCATGCGTACAAGTGCGCGGCGCGCTCCGAGCGAACTGAAAATCATCTATCGAAAAAATGTCAAAGGTCAACGTTATTGGTCAAGGTCTAGTTATTGCCATGGAAAGATTTCCATATACGAAGTTCACTCAACACTCTGTGTACAAACCCTATGAGAGTGGACTGAAAGATTCTAAGTGTTTTCTAAGAAAATGCTTGTATTTTCTCACTGTTCAAATTGACTTTGATGACATGAAATTGCTATCTGGGGGCTTGTTAGGCAAAACAGAGGAAAATTAGTGAACTTCGCATTTGGTAATCTTGCCATTGCCATGATTACCCTCTGTTACTCATCACCAAATTGTTTTAGAATTATTCTTGACCATTCTCTTTATTTGGTGAAAAAGTTTGCATATGCATGGTTGTGTCCCCTCCCCATTTTTATCTTTTGTAAATTTGTCAATTTTTTGGGAAATTATTCTCAAATTTCACAGTAATTATTGTCCACCAAATTCTTCAAACAATGACCTTTCCAAAAATAGCAGATGAAAACAATTAACCTTATGAATTAGAAGGTAAAGATGTTAAAGTAACTTGTTTTCCTTTGTTTCTTGAAGTTGACAGAGTTTGAAGGTTCTACCAAGGATGTCAACTGTGGAGCACATACAGGATGCAGAGCACACTGATGACGTATCACCATGGCAACGCGTACCGCTCAACATCACTTGTATGAGATTGTACCTGACACCGTTAATTGTAAAGAGCGCCACCTGTTGTTTGGTTATCGATCAACTTTTAATGCAGCAGATAATGCAGCGGTAGGCTATATAGGCCTGTACGTCAGGAAAGTCTGGACTATTTATTTCTCAAAATTCAACTTCTTTTCGGCGTACTGGAAAGATTCCCATATATCTGGACATCAATAATTTTCCCTGCAGTGACCTATATCACCATTAAAAGGGATAATTTATGTGTCCAAAAATGTCAGATTTATAGCAGGGAAAAGTTGCTACCATGGCATGCCTACTGAGAAAATAGCTGGAGTTACCCAGCCCGTAACACCCGATAACTGTTTCATGCACTAATATAAGGTTTACCACTCGCATCACAGCTTTGGTACTGGAACCGCAACCAATAGTGCATGAAACAGTCATCGGGTCATACGCTTCCGCGTGACGTCAGGCGCCAACAGCCAGCGCAGCCGGCAAAACCGAGTAGTTGACAGCGATCGCTCTCTGTGCCTGTTAATCGACCGCCATTCATTGTACACAATTTTTTTTGTGCACAAACCAATTGCGGTCCTGGCCAATCCAGCAAGGTTGTCAAGTTAGCGGTTATTCCTCCTGTTTTCACTGCAATTGTAGGCTGAATCTTCATCGTGGATCGTTTTTTACTTCAAGGACCTGTGTAATGGTTATTCCAGGCAAGTTTGGGGTGAGTTGCAGTTGCAATTAGTGTGTAACGGGGACAAAATTGAACATTTTCCAAAATTTTTTGAATATACTACAAGTTACGAGAAAAATACGCTCCAGCCCTCGATGACAACCCAATGATAAAACTCAGGGCTGGCTAACTCCAGCTAACCCAATGATAAAACTCAGGGCTGGGTAACTCCAGCTACTGAGAAAACATGTCAAAGGACATTTCATAGTCTTTGTTGGTCAGTGGTGTCTGAGGTATGGGAGTCTTTCCAGAGTATTTTTGAATGCTTTGCAAACATTGTTGGGTATAAGACCTCTTTTTATAGCTCCATGATTGTATAGTCATATAGTCAGCAGGGCCAGGGCCTATTGTTTTTAGTTCATCGCACCTACCCCAATTAAGAACCCAGTATCAATGCACACATATAGTGGTGTTCCCTAACGTGGCGCACTGCGACGTTTCTCCTGACTTTCCTCATGCACGGTTGCCAAACTTCTTTGTTGATAAACTTCGAATTCATTCAGTTATTACTGGTACTTTTTCAGTAGTGTTTGCCATTTAAATTCTGTAAACAATTTCACTGTCATACAATTCTGAACAAAACTTAAAAACGGTGGCGTCCGGAAATTGGGCCAAAAATCAGCTGAGTGTTCCCTAACACAGCGCACTTGCGTAAATCTTGGAAAATTCCAGGTTAACACTAAAAACGTTATTTAAAGTTAGCAAATTCTTACTTAATAAATAAATATATCTCTACTTTACCCAACTAGAAGTATGTCAGAAAATTATTTTCTTATTTTTGGGTGAGTATATCAGTGGTGAGTTGAAGGTAGATTGTTTCTTGATTATAATTTGAGTTAGAAATGTGATTCGGGTTTGTAACTTCAGGGGTTGCCCTTCAGGAAAGTCAAGTTTGGATTGATTTGGGGGTCAAAAGGTCAAAGGTCAATGTCATTGGTCAAGGTCTAGGTCATTCCATTGACCAGTATTAACTATTCTACTACATGTACTTGTAATTTCACACCTTATATCAACAAACTCAGGCCGAGGGGTTTCAATAGCACCGCTGTATTTTTTTAGGAAACTTGCAGTAATGTTTATTGATTCATTTTATTTCATTAACAGCTTTGAAAATGGAGTTGAGGCCAGACAGACAGGGGGCATAGGACTGCCTATTTGCTCTCAGGTCATTTTATCTAATGCATTTAATGTTAGACACTATTCGTTTTTGAACTTTTCTCCAAAAACCTGAAATTATTTATTGCCAATCACCCTCTAATATTCAGGACCAATTTTTTTTTGGAATTATTCTTGACCATTCTCTTTATTTGGTGAAAAATTTTGACCATCGTCTGACTAGAGGCGTTTGCATGTTGATATTAGTGCTCAGGCATCAAATTACGTCAGGAATCGACCACTAGTCTCGCCCCAACTTGCTCATAGTTGTTTCTGTGGCATGGTTTAGCTGTATTTGTCCTTTTTGGGGGAAAAAGTAGTGCAGGTGGGAAAATTATCAGAAAAACTAAGATGACATTTTTGTGTGTTTACGTTTCTAGAGTTACTTCTACAACGACGATAGGTTCAACTACAACTATGCGCAGGCCAAAGCCACAGCAGGCAACTACAAGGAAGCAGAGGAGGTAGGTTGGACTCTCGGACCCAATTTTCGTTGTTGCGCCCTCAATAGTTGGCCAGTCATGGCGCAGCGACTCGTCATGGTGCCTGAACTAGTCATGGTGCCTTTCATTTGCAAACATCAAAAACCAAAACTACCAAGTTATTATGAAATACCTGACTGTTAGGGAATAATAGTCTCAAGCATCCTGTGAAATCACGGCACCTGGTGTGCTGTCATTTTCAAGACAAGTGGAATTTTGTATCAATTTCCACCGATGGTCGGCCCTGTTTGAGAGAGAAGCCTGACTTTCTGACTGTTCTCATCCATATACTGTTGCCATACCTAGATGTAGAACAAAAAGATATTCCAATAGCTTGTTTTCCCACGTGCTGCATCTCTTTGGAATTCCTTGCCTGGTGCTTATTTCCCTCCAACCTATGATCTGTCCTGATTCAAGAGGAGTGTGGAGTGCTGTGGCCTCGTGGTTAAGGGCGTTGGATTCGTGGTCTGCGGGTAAAGCTGCAGGTTGTGGGTTCGAGTCCAGCCTGGGGTCATGGTGTGTGTGCCCTTGGGCAAGGCACTTTGTCACTCATTGCTTCTCCCCACCCAGGAGTAATAGGCTATCAGCTTTGGTCCAAAAAATGGGCCACCGGTACCAGACGATTGAAAAGAGCAATGCTCATAGCGATTTTTTGAAAGGCACATCTAGAGTTGGAGAATGTGTGATAGCTTTGCAGTGTGAGTGGTGGCAGTGTTATCACTTTTGATTTGTGTTTTCAAAATTGCCGTCAATATGCTTGAACCGGATCAATTGTATGTTGTAACAAGCATGTTCTGGCTGCCATTTCAAAAAAAAGAAAACAAGGGATAGCACCCAAAAAAGCTGCCACCGCTGCAATGCTGTCACATATTTTCTGACTAGAGGGGTGCATACCTTGCCAAAAATCACAATGAGCATTATTGCCCTCATTTGATACTGACCAAACCCCCACACTGATGGCTTATAAGTGGGTGCCTATGAGGGCAGAGATGGTGTGGTTGATTTAGCTGCTGTGCTCCGACTTGTAGCCCCGTATATCTGGAGTGGCTTTTAGCCTTGTTCAGGGCGAATAGGCATAAAAAAAACAAGTCTAAAACCCGGATGGGGATCTTTCTGTGCCTCCTAGACCACTGTTTTGGTGGGAACACTTGGTTTTACCATGATTTAATTGGAGTGGGTTTCGTTTCTCTTGTTTTCCAGATTTTTGTGCTCATTCAGAGTGAGAAGATCAAGAATGACTACACGTGTCTCTGGTTGGCAAGATGCTGTGAGTATTACCGTCAATTGTGAATGACGTTTCCTCTTCCAACTTCCAAGTTGCTAATGATGGGAATGAATCCACCTGTTAAGCCCCAACTCATAATGTATTGACCACTCACAATTGTGACTGCACAACCAAATGTCCAACTAAAGTCACGACACGTCGCGTGCATGCATTTCATGTACTGCTGGAAAATCCAGAGTGGCATTAGGGAGATGCACATGTTGCCCATGTGTGAGGTAGACCGAAGGGTCTCTAACAATGACATAACCAGCATGCAATCATCGCCCTGATCGTATATTAAGGATGTGATTTTGCGTTTCATTTTGTAAACGTTAAGCAAATATTTTAAGAACCGTTTTAAACGTTTAGCCATTGACAGTGGCTTTTGCCTACCCATTATGTCTGATCTGCAGACCGGCGTGATTGACATGAAAAATCAACAATGGTTGACATAGTAAATAGCAGGCAGTCGTTGATAAAGTAAAAATGTTCTACGTGTTCCCCAAGTGTAATCAATTAAGAGGTGCTTCTAAGGTTTTGTAAATTAAGTAGGTTTGAAAACAACGTTAATTATTTGTGCAACATGTATGTGTGGTTGTCTCAAAGGAAGATCGCGTGAACGGAGGTCCCTTTTATATAATTTGGGTTTTGTTGATATGTTTTGAAAAATCAGTAAACAGAGTTAGAAGTTTTTTTGTTTCAACGTGTAAACTTCACATCTTAGTCATACATTTGCCATTTTGGATTTGTTCTATCACATTTCAAGCAGATTGTACGACAGAAATTTGCAACATTGAACATCCCTCTTGGCTCCCAAATATTGTACACAGTTACACTGAGCATTGCTGGCCGAAAATTGCTAAAAGGGGCATCCACTGAACCGAACCATCTTTTGTAGACCCCAATGTGTTTTCTGACAGCAGTATCCTATGTATTTATAACCTTTCTTTGTGTTGTTTTCGTTGTTCAGACATCATGAATCGTAAGGCCAGACTAGCCTGGGAGTTGTACCTTAAGATGGAGACGTCTGGCGAATCGTTCAGCCTGCTGTAGCTCATTGCCAACGACGGCTACAAGGTAAAACATCATCCCCTAATTTTGTATGTTTGGTCAAGATTTTGGCATTAGCCCCAAATTAGTATGCTGAGTCACTCAATCTAAACCTGCAGCCGATTTCACAAAACACATTTGTCACTTCGTCAAAACCCAAATCGTAGAGAAAATGTCAATCTAAATATAACACACTTGTAAAAAAGAATGCACATATCCAGACGCCACTTCAGCCGTTGTGTACAAAGTCTATGGCGAGTCAAGAAAACTTTCCAAGTATTTCTGAACAAAATTGGAAGTGTTTCTCAGTCCCAGATTCATGTTTGTGAAACAATTTTGCAATGACTCATCTTTATTGAGATGATGTGTGAAGACAAAAGTGGCGTCTGATTGCAACATTGTTTCCACGTGTAAAATCAACGAGAATACGAACCCCCGTCAAAAAAGAAAAAAAAAAGATTTGTTGCACATTTACGACTTTGTGTCATTAGCTTGAATAATGAAGGATGCACTTTTTTGTCGCAAACTTTGGTAAGCATGTAGAGGGCATCATAAAATATTAGAATAGCCAAAAATACCAACTGCTTTAAAAAATTGATTTGGGACAAATTCATCACTTTGTCAACACGGTGGCGATATGATCGAAAACTTCAGGCTTTTCGTTCGAACTTCTGATGTTTTTTGCTCGACCTCAAAATATAATTGTCACGGTCTCTCGATCCTCAAATCTCATCTTTTCTATCGGTAGATGGCCAGTTCTACTATGCGACCAAGGCTTTCGGTGTCCTGGAAAAATTGGACCCCCATCCTGCATACTGGGAAGGCAAGCAAGGGGCGTGCGTGGGCGTATTCCAGCAGATCATAGCTTGCATGGTCATGAACCAAGGTGGGTGTCATCTCTGTCAATCAGCAGTGCACACTGACCAATCAGATCAACTTATGGTCAGGTGACCACACTACATCTATCAAACAGTGTGCACTGACATATCACTCCGGTGCTCTACCAACTGAGCTATCCAGCCCAATGTTGGCGGTTCCCTAATTGCAATGTCTCTGTCAAAGGGGCGCTAGTCAGAAGCCCTCAACCCGCATATGCCATGCAGCCAGGGATCACGCCCAAAGTCACGATGCAGACCTGGGAAATATCAAACGGGGATCACTCAGAGAGGATACGGCTTTTTATTACAAATCTTCATGAATACTTTTCAACTTCTAATTAGCCCTCTAGTTCAACTTCATTGATCTTTATGGATTTTTCCTTTGGAAAAAAATCACTCGGTTGGGACTCGAACCCATGACCTCCTGCTTGTTAGTGCAGACGTCTTAACCACTGGACCATCAAGCTTACAGAATTGGTTGCCTGGCCAGCCAACCAACCCCGTAAGCTCCATGGTCGAGTCGTGGGTTCGAATCCCACCCAAGTGATTATTTTTCCAACTTTCACTCGGGAGGTAACACACTGAGTATACAGTGTTTATACATCGGTGAAGGGCAAATCCTAATATTGATTTACATCACCCCGACGCAAAGTCCATCTTGTTAATAGCTTTCATTTGTATGTGCACAAAACCCAGTAAAGTTCAAGCCACTAGATTTTTGCCATTTTTTTCCTCTACAGAGAAACACTGCGAGACATCCTCCAAATCTTGCACAACACCGGTAACCCCGCAGGTTGAATACATCATCCGTGTCATGAAGAAGTGGGCCAAGGACAACAGGGCACCAGTTTTCTGAGGTGGTCCCTATCCTAGTCTTGAGATTGTTTAAATTTGTACATTCCAAAAAACCCTGCTTGCAAAGGGATTTTCCAAAAATAAAATATGGAACGATACTGTGGATTAAGAGTGATTTAATTATTCTTGACACATGGGAAATTTGCCTTGAAATATTTCTCTATTTAGCTTTGGCAAGATGGTTATGCAGGAGAAAACAACAGTTCTGGAGAGAGGCTAGTCTCTCATGGCATAAACAAAGTAGGCTTGCCTAGTTAAGCTGGACTCTGTGCCTCAGTCAGTGACTCAGTCAACAACTCAGTGACTCGATCAGCGACTCAGTGATTTAGTCAGATTCAGTCAGTGACTCAGTCAGTGACTCGTCAGTGACTCGTCAGTGAGACTTCGGTCAGCGACTTGGTTAGTGAATCACTCAGTGATTCATTGAGCGACTCAGTGGCTGTCATCAACTCGCAGTGACTCGGTCAGTGATTCAGTGAGTGACTCAGTGACTCGGTCATGCAGTGACTTGGTGACTTGGTCAGTGTCTCATCGCGCAGTCAGTGATTCGGTCAGTGACTCGGTCAGTCAGTGATAATAGTGACTGACTCGATCAGTTAATACTCAGTGACTCAGTCAGACAGTCAGTCAGGCAGCATTGAAATGTTCATCATAATTATGAATGTTCACGTCACAAATGTTGCTTACATGTAGGACAACTCTGCAAGTTTGTTTTCTTGGAGTTTCTGGGGCCTGTTTAGAGACAAGCCAACGGCATGAGAATGGGCCAGGAATGGTTATTCAAGGAGGGGGGTAGTCATCTGTACGTAATGTAATTATACTAATTAATGGTTTATATTGATATAAATATACATGTACAAATTTTCAGATCACGTTTGTCAGGTAATTAGGGTGTAAGGTCCAGAAGGCAGGAAACAAATGGAAAATAAGTGATTTGAACTGAGCCCAATTTCATAGCGCTGCTTAGCACACAATTTCTGCCAGCAGAGCCTCTCCGTCTATCTATCACATTGTCAATACTATATTTTTTTCATGTACAATATTGGGAAAGAATGTTGCAACCTGATGCTGCTTTTTCTTCATATCATCTCAATGAAGTCATTCATTGCAAAAATGATGATAAGACATGAATCTGGGACTGAGAAATACTTCAGAGAAAATTTTCTTGACACTCCATAGACTTTGCACACAACCGCTGAAGTGGCGTCAGGTTGCAACATTCTTTTCCAATATTGTGTGATATTCTGACTTCATTTCTTTATTTCATCTGTAAAAACAATAAATGTTTACTGCCTTTCTTTAAAGGGAAGATACAACATTTGCAAACATCACAAAACGAGACGATCAAAATATCGCGAAATACCTTACTGGATTGTTGGGGAATGACAGTCTAAAGCATCCTGTGAAATCGTGGCTCATGATGTGCTGACATTTTTAAGAAAAATTGTACTTTTCCAACGCTGGTCGGCCGACCAGCATTGGAGAAAACTGGCTATTTTTCAAAAATTGCTCCCAATTTTTTTATAATTAGTTATTCCGCATTTTCTTTGCAATTGATTACACACCTGTGAAGAGGTACAAGTCTGCTAGACTGATTCTCTGACCTTACAATTCCCCAAAGTCTATTAATTGCTCCGTTTTATCTTATAAGTGGGGTCACCAGACTGCAAATACATGTCTGGTTTTCTTGGCTTTTCCAGCATCTACAAGCCCAAATGCGAAAAAAGTCTTTTTAACAGTATTTGCTATAACATACTAATCCTCCAAATCCATTTATTTCTGAAAATTGCAGCAAAAGCAAATGTTGTACATTCCCTTCAAGTCCGACAAATCTTATCTTGCAGTGTAAATATTGTGTAGGTGAATTTTAAAAGTAAATGTTACTTAAAAGATTGTTGAAATGCTGTGCATAGTTCTTTGAATAAAGAGATATTAAATCATCACAATAAATAAAAGTGAAAAAAATACCTGTTTGTTATTGATTTGTTTGTTTTCTTGGTAGTTTGTTTGTGATTCTGAAAACAAAACTTAATTCAATTTATTTAAAAGATAAGTTTAGTAAATTTATGTTTGGGCATGGGGCTATAAAAAGTTGGGAAGGTAAAAAAAAAGAATAATATAATTTCAATTTGTTTAAAAGTAAGCTCAGTGAATTCATTTTTGGGAAAGAAAAAAAGTGAAGACAATAAAACAACAATACTATGGTGGGACTCGAACCTAAGTCGCCAGATTGGGAGTCCTACGCCGGTCCAGCAGACCATAGTCGCACTTAAACAAAGCGTCAGTTCTGCTATATCATACCGTAAGATAGGCTTATCGTGGCTTTTCACGTTGACGCCCATGCATGCTTATAGACGTAAAACACAGTCTGAAGATGTAAAACATTCGTTAGATTTTGGTGTAGCTGTTCTAATTGATCTAAATTTAATTGAAAAAGGGTGAGGGGTGTCAACTGAACTAAAATTGTAGACTTCAATGAAATAAAACTCTTACAATCCTTGGTTTCAATACGAAACACACGTGTTCAACGGATGCAGAGAAGCCTATTTCTTTTGTTAAATTCCTTTGTTGAATCTGGCGTTAACAATAAAATGTTTCCATTGAGGGAAAAGGATTAAACGCCGCGATCTTTTTTCACGCTTGAGTGCATCTGAATGGGGAATATTGAAGCGGAAAATCACGATTTACAGCACTTAGGCAGCACTTTATCCCACATAATGATACTTTTTGAAGAGGAAATTGCATACTGAATACATCTATAGTTTTAAAATGCAAAAATTCGCCGTATTTAAAAAGTCGACGAAATTTTTTTGGAAAAATTTCACCAAAACTTTCCTAATCCTATCGTAGGCGGCGCTATATATATTTCATTCTCAGTGCGCGCATTGTTAGCGCGATAGCCGCCGCCCGATCGGTGTATCACCCGTTTACCCAATCTTATTTTAGCATCACAATTTCAATTTATCTCACGAATAAAAGTTGAATAGGTCTACAACTAAAACAATAGATAATTAAGGTCAGTGAAAAAAATGCAATCCGAATAAAAGTCAACTTTAATGGAACAAAAGAGACGCGTATAAGGATATTAATAAAAGGGCCCCGGTATACACATGAGCAAGAGGGAGGCGGGATTTTTTTTGTCGTGTGAGATGGGGGGGGGGGGGAACAAGCGAAATATATTTATTGAAAGTCGTAAGTGGAGAAATGTTTTTTAAATAAAAGGGCTATAAACTGTACATGTATACAAAACAGGCAGCCAGCCCCGCCCCCATCCCCTTGCGATGCCATACACACACGCTAATGCGCTGGCCAACTCTGGATACGGTGCACGTGCGAGAATTAAATATATATAGCGCCGCCTACGTTAGGATGAGGAAAGTTTTGGTGAAATTTTTCCTAAAAAAATTACCTTGACTTTTTTAATACGGCGAATTTTTGAATTTTGAAAATACAGTTGTATTCAGTATGCAATTTCCTCTCCAAAAAGTATCATTATGTGGGATAAAATGATGCCTAAGTGCTGTAATTCGTGATTTTCCGCTTCAATATTCCCCATTCAGAGGCACTCAAGCGTGAAAAAAGATCGCGGCGTTTAATCCTTTCGCCTCAATGGAAACATTTTATTGTTAACTCCAGATTCAACAAAGGAATTTAACAAAAGAAATAGGCTTCTCTGCATCCGTTGAACACGTGTGTTTCGTACTGAAACCGAGGATTGTACGAGTTTTATTTCATTGAATTTCAGGATTTTACTTCAGTTGACACCCTTTCCCTTTTCTAATTAAATTTAGATCAATTAGAACAGCTACACCCAAAATCAAACGAATGTTTTACATCGTCAGACTGTGTTGTACGTCTAAGTGTGCATGGGCGTCAACGTGAAAAGCCACGATAAGCCTATCTTACAGTTAATTAAGTAGAACTGGTTGAGCATTTGAGCGCGTTAATGGTCTTGTGGACTGGCGTAGGACTCCCAATCAGGCGACTCAGGTTCGAGTCCCACATTATTTTATTGCTACTTAATTTTCTTCCCTTTTTTTTACATTCCCGAGACATAAATTGACTGAACTTATGTTAGAAAAATTGAAGTGTTGTTTTCAGAATCAAATAGAATAAAAAATATAAAATATTCTTTTTTTATATTGTTTATTCCTCCATGATTGGATCAAGAAATTCAAAACTATGGGAGAGACAAGTTTGGAAATAACACAGTGTTTCCTGAAAAGCAGTTAAAATTTTATTTCTTTCAACTCCAAAGTAACAGTCTATATGAATTTAACTTAACACAGAGTTATCACTGACTATGGTATTCTCGAACTAGTTGCAGAGCATTTTGTTACACAAAATAAAACAATCATATTTAACCAAAACATTTCACGCATGTCAGTACTGCATGCGTACAGTTTTACAAACAAATGATAAGGACTAGTAACTGGGTTTTGGCATTAAAGATGACTCATTGTCCAAAATCAAGTATTTTTTTCAAAATCAAAAAAATATATAATTAATATTCTCCGGAAATGTAGTGTGTTAAAGCGCTCAAGATACTGGCGATCTAGAGTCAACTTTCATGACAAAAAGCAATGCAATCGGTTTCGAGAAGATAACTCAAGAAGTACTTGGTGCATTAATTTGAAATATTGCATAACGATTCAACCTGATATATGTATCAAATCTCTTGAATTTGGATATCAATTGTTGACCAATAATAAAAATATACACAAGACAATGTGGCATGTAAGCGCGCAAAATACAAGGCGAATTTGAGTCAATATGTTTATGGAACAAAAACAACACACTCGTTGTTGAGACGACTTTTCAAGAAATGCTTGTTGTATTGGACTGAAATCAAATCTCCTGATAAGTTATCATACACAACACATCACTTGCGAATTTGGAGAGAAACCGTCAAAAATATAATTAATATACTCCGGAAATGTAGTGTGTTAAAGAACTAGCTAGCTACAAATAACTGGAGATTTTAGTCAACTTTCATGACACAAAAACAACTCGGTTTCCAGAAGATAACTCAAGAAATACATATTTGCATGAAATCGACATTTAATAAATTGATTAAACATACAGATGATTGAACAAATCTGTTGAATTTAGTGAGGAATCATCAAACCGAGAGCGTTTTTGTGTCATGAAGTTGAGGCATGGTTTTTCGTGTTGACAATACTTTTGTACTTACGTACACAGTACAGTGGTGACCAATAGCGCGCCCTCTTGTGAAAGAAAAATGAAAATGACATAAATTGGCGGGATTTTCTCCATGTTTCCCCAG